CTCGATTTTACCATGAGACAAATATGAAATCGCTCCTCATCATCAACGTAATTGCAATAAATATAAATGATAAAACTAATATTTGAGCTAAACGAGAGGACAAAATGTTTACCATCAACAATGTCAACATGTATTCTTAACCTTAAACATGAACATGAGTTAACATGAATAGAGAACAATCTTTTTTTTACCTTTTCCCTTTTATCAGAACTTATCATGTTCATCATTCAGTAGCATCTTTCACAGCTCTTGTTCTTAAATGAATTCTCTTCTCCCATGTAATCACCATCATCAGTAACTATCTGATTTTGATTCATGATAATATCAACCTCAAGTGATACTTACAAGTAATGATAATTTACTATTTACTTTACCATCGCCATTCATACAAGTGTCATTTCAATCATGATAATGATATTATTTATTCTGAGTTGTTTACTCACCATCATGGTAATAATATTAACTTTATACTCGCATTTACTGATAATCGTATTTTGAGTCTCCTTTTTCCTCTAGAATTCTGGAAACAGTTTTGCTTACGATTCTGATAATTACTCAGGAATTGATTTTCACACTTACTGTCTAAAATATTAGAATTGTACTAAACTTTGTGAAACAAATAATTTTATTCATTATCATGGAATAGATGAAAGAAGCTAAATGAGCAGAAAGAATTACATCTTTTTTTGTTCGATTTTCAGAACTTTTTTTCTTCTTTACTTTCTTTCATTTTCTTTCCATCATCAGAATTATTATTATGCAAATTTTACACATGAAACTTGTTCCATTATTCTGTTAATGAAAATTTTTCCTCATGGAACTTTGGAAAAATTTTTCCTTTCTCACTTAAATTCTGAGCTTGCAACTATTAAAAAACTTTCTCCATCATGAATATCCTGATTCCCCTATTTGATTACATGAGAATCGCTGTTATTAATGAAATGATTATTTATGGATAACTGAATGTCAGAGAAACTTTTTTATCTCATTTTTTTCAGGGTAAAAGTTCAATTTTTCCATGTAAATAGATTGATAAACAAATGTGCTGATAAATAGGAAAAAAATAGTTATCATGAATATTGAATGAAAACTTGATCATCAAAAAATCCGAGTAAAATGTTACCATGATTTTATCAGATTAACAGGGAATGAAATTGATACATTTAACCTAACAGAATATTCATCATCACCATGAGCATCATCAGAATTTTTTTTCGTTGACATTGTGTTGGCTTAAAAGTTGATGTAGATTTCATGTTGAGGTAATTTCGCCATAGAGAAACAATAAACTCTTTTTTTTCTGATTTTATTCTGATTCCAATTGAATGTTCTAACCTCAATGTTGAACGTTTATTGTTTTGAAAATGTTTCAAATTTTGATCTTCTAAATTCAGTACAATATCAGAATCATTATCATGAAGTTCAGACATTATTTTCTCGTTTTTTTTCATGTTCAACTTTACCCTGAATTTTTCATGACAATAGGAAGATAATAACATTCCCATTGTTTTATATACTACATAATGATGATGGTGATTATTATTACCAATAATGAATAGGAAACAATAAATATTAAATCGTCTCTGAACATGGAATGAAATTCATTGAACCATGTTGAACATAATGAATATAAAATGTGAATTCGATATGAAAATGGTTCGAGCTGAAACATTCATAACTGATGAGGATAAATTATCATTTTTATCAGGGATGAACTTTAAAATTCACTGAGTGTTATACTTGTAAGATATTACATTATGAGTCGATAAAATTTCAACGATTATCAGAATTTCATTGAGAGATGATCATTTTTTTTTCTCCTCGAGGAGGAAAAAAATTTTCAAAAAAAGTTCATATGAAAAATAACCAATATTATCATGAGATATTCACTGCTATTTATCAATACCCATCATTTCCACCATGAATGTAAATGATTAACAATCTATTTTTCTCAGTTTTCAGAATCTTTAATTTTCTAAATGTTACAACCGAAATTGTCAGAGATTGTCACTTAATCTTATCCATCCTGAGAAATTTGAATTCTTTCTCAACTTTCATGAACTTTTTTCTCCTCCAGTCTGAAAAGGAAAATAACTTTTTCTTTTATCCACTCAACTTACAGAATTTATTTATATTCCGTTTTACTTGAATGATTTTATTCCATGTTCTCACCTTATCATTGCAATAATATTCTTATGTTTTATTTCCGATTTCAATAAATGTTCAATTCCATCTATCTGCATGCAAGAAATTCAATTGATTGGCAATTCAATTTGTTTTTCTCTATCGTTTGTGTGAGCAAATAAAATCAAAATGATAAATCTCCCGATTTCAATTGATTTTGTATGGTTAATGATTTCAGAACACGAGTTTACCCTTTATAATTTGATTCTATGAACGTTTTCATTGCATTTATAATATTCAATGAATCATACAGAATATTATTCAGATTCATCGATAATGTTTCGCCAGTTTTTGACCCCATGAACTTCTGGGTGACATTGTACATCGTAATTATAGTTGATCAATTGGTTCTCATGTTTGACATGAGAATCAGTAAGATATATAAATTAGGATTAATCAATGATTAGATAAGTAGTATAAAAAAAGTTCATGTCGATTGAATCAAATAAGTAACCCAATGATATTTGTACTTCATTAATAGCTTTCACTTGATATTATCCTGATTTCATCCCTCACTTTCAGACCAATCAGATTATTAGCTTGCAAATTATCATCATCATCATAGTCTAAGAGCATCTTAATCAGATACATGATTGAGTTTGAGAAATATTATCATAGATGATAAATAAGCTTCATCATTACAATGATGATAATAACAATAATCATGGTAATCATCTTATGGTAAAAATGAGATATCATTTTCCTTCATGGTGACAAGATGAGTTTTTTCAGACCTAATCTTCAAGTCTAATATATTTGAGTGGCTGAATTTGTTCATGATAACATCGGAACTGAACAAAAAAATCCATTGGATATGCAATGAAATATGAAATGATATTTGCAAATCATTACCAACAGGGAATTGATTTCACTATAATCGCTTGAGATGTAATAATGATACAAGGTTAAGGTTCACTTGTTTGGGTTTACAGTTTGAATCTTAATCTTCACTTTCACTGTGAATAAACATTATAACTGAACAAGGGAAAGAAAAAAAGTTCCAATCATGAATTCGGAAGGAAACACGAACATATATACAAAAGAATGAGTCTAACTGATGTTCATTCAAATATCAAACTGATCATGAAAATGATAATAATTCTGATTGCAATCTTTTCAATTCGATAACTTTTTTTTGCTCCACTTTCCTTGTATTAATATTTCAATCTACTGAATAAATCATTTACCTTTACTGTTTCATGTCATGATCATATATCAGTAGTTGGAATGATGATCTGTGAAATGATGATGATGACAGAATGATGAAGATAATAATCATCATTTTTATATAAGAAATATTAACAAGATTTTAGATAAATATTGTCAATATGAATCGATATGATGTGAATAGCATTTCCAAACAACAATCAGTGACCATAATCAGACTGGACATCATCAAGGTTGAAGCTCAGACTATTGGATGAAATGAAAAATTACCTATCATAAATAATAATAGAAACTGAGATAATTAAAGGTTTCCAATTAACTTTTTCTTTCAAACTGGTTCATTCATTTAAATTATTGTCTAGCTTAGAATCACAGTCAAACTTATCGTTACTTTGAAAGCCTTCAAGTCATTTTCACTCTGATATAATTGCAATAATTACTATGCTAATCAATTTCATTGAAAATGGTGACAATTATTTGGTATCAATTTTTTCATATGTTTAAATTGCTCAGGGCAATTTAACTTAACTGTGATGATAATTGCACTTTCTGGTTTAATCAATTTTCTCTGCTAAATCTAAGATTGAAGTTAATCATCAACTGATTGTACATGATAATGTTTCATAACGATTTGTTTGTAACTTGATCATTAGAATTGGTCTTTACTAAAGTTAATCAAGTTCAATTAAAAAAAGAAAAGGAAATCAATTCCATGTGAATAAATTATCTTCCTATGTAGGAAGAAAATTGTATAATAAAGTTATAAGAAAATCAGCTCATGAAAAGTTCTGATGAGAATCTTTTAAGAATGAATAAGATTCAAGGTTCTAGAACAAATTGCAACGAAATCTCATGAGATTTGATTCCATTGATACTATTAGACTCAAGTGCAATCTCTTTATGTTGGAAAATAATTTCAGAATCATAGACAGAGGGAGAGAAACAAGAATAATACAATGAGAGAATTGGAAACAATGAAAAAATAGATTAAATCAGAACCAGGGGAGAGGAAAAGCCAATCAGAATTGTTTTAAAAGATAAGTTCTTCCCGAGAATCCAATATTATTAATACATGAAATAGACTCGACAACTTATTCAGAAGAAGATAAAATTTTCCAGTATCACAAAGGCAAACATCATTAGCATGGAGAAGAGACTCAAATTCATGAATATCTCGTAAATGAACATGAATTTTCCTGAATAAAGGTTAACAATATATTGATATTCAATTAGTTGATCGCTGGGAAAATTGTAGCAAAGTTTTTTTTCCTTGATACTTGTCAGGGAAAAAAACATTAACCTCTCAGCATGAACATGGTAATTATTCAGTAACAAATTTTGATATTAACAAGTTATCGTTGTAACAATCAAATTATCCAGCAAACTGATTAGCGATTGATCAGATTTTGATTACATACATGAGATATTATCAACATTTACCTATTTCCGTTAAGATCATTCTCTTTCCCCCTCAATCTTTCGTCAAGTAACTTATTAGCTTGGAACTTTTTTTTTGCTTCTCCTCTTCTATCTCAGAATATGTTATCATTTAATCTTATCCATGAAATCACCATGATTACTTATTTATGTTTCCTTTTCTTTCTGTACATGATTATTATCTTGTTCTTTTTACGATCAAACCTTCAAAGTGCCTCCTCGTATAATAACATCGGAAACGAGTGTCGATGTGATGAGACGTGAGAACTCAAATGCTACGTTAACATGTCGAGCTCGAGGTTATCCCCTTCCAAGGATAACATGGCGACGAGAAGATGGTAAACCAATTGAATTTGGAAATTGGCAGGAAAAGAAAGATCAAGGAATCCAACCACGTAAGTTCGAGACACATTATCATCTTTTTCTTACGATTCTTATTCTTTCATCTTTTCCATCTTGCAACTTTTTCTCTCAACGAACATTTTTTTCTCGCTCTCTTTTTACCTTCTTTCGAACTTACCTTTTTTTCTTTACATGTTGTTCCTTGTTTTTTTCGTTACTTTTTTCGCCTTTCGTTATTTCTGTTCATCTTTTTTTCGTGATTCATTTTTATCTCTATTGTTTTTCTCTTTATCAAGTATCACCCTTCCATTACTTTCTCTCAGTATGCATCATCTATCATAACTGTTACATGTTATTTTCTCGTTCTAATGAAAACTTTACGTTCTCAATTTTCTCTCACTCTCAACATCGTCCTAACTTGTAATTGACTTTTCTTCCAATGAATTTAGACATGATTTGTGTTCCATGAAGTTCCCATGAATTTTATGGAATCTAAGCCAATGTATCAAATCTTTTATATTTCTTTTTGTACAAAATTTCAAGAGAAAACAAAACTAGATCAACTTGTTCAGACTCTTGTTTGTTTGTGTTTTCAGTTCAAGAAAAGGATAGAAAGTGATTAACATTTTTGTCGTCTTTTGTTTCAATTTTATCAAATTAAATTGTCGTAAATTAGTCAGTTAATCAATGGTTTAACGAGATTTGTGAGGTTAACCCAATGAAATTAAGTAGCTAAGGAAAAAGAAACCAAGAGAATCCGATGATGAACCATGAAATTTTCGCTCATCAGATAAAACCAACAATTGTATCACTAAATTGCCTTAATTGTGTTTTGTATTTCTCAATCCAAAACAATCAATCCTAAAAGCTAAATCTTTCTTAATCCAGTTACTATTAGTTTCAAGATAAACTCAAGAAACTTTTTCATCTCTATCTTCATGTTCAATTCTTTTGACCATTGGTCATTCATGAGAATATGAAGAGTTGACTCAATTTGATCATGAGAAATGTCACTTTGTATGAAAAGTTTTATTCAAAATTTATGTTAACTCGATAAATTTAAATTCTCTAGAATCTTCTTAGCATTTAAAATCATTTTAAACTTTGTATTCACCGTACAACCAGTTTGTTTGATTTTCATTATTATTCTTTATCATAATTATTCATATTCTGAATGTCGATCTAGAATCATTGAAACATCTCATCTAGCAGACTAGAGGGTATGCAAGTATTTTCTTTGAATGCGGAAAATGTTTTGACTTTTGGGAACTCAAAGTAACAAACAAGTTTCATAACAAATGTAAATTCAATTCAATTGTAATATTATCATCATGTTAATAGATGAACAAGTTAAACTTGAACATAAGTCAAATGTGAATTCAATTTGAATGATGTAATAAAATGAAATTCAGAATATATAACAATTGCCTTCAAGGTGAATACAATCAAACTTTCAGAGGTTTTCAGAGTTTCCTTCATGGTGAAAGAGAAAAAAGTAACAAAAAGAAAATGTTTATCAGTAACTAAGTGTATTAAATGCATCATGAACATTAAGATTTTCACCCTGAAATCACCACAAATGAACCTTAACAAAGGTTTACTCTTATCTGTTAATCAGGAAAAAAGAGAGACTAAAAGTCAACATGTGAGAAATTAATTTACCAATTATCATGTTTACCAGGTGACGATTCTGATAAGCAGAATATGCCAGCATTTGAATATCTCTCTCTCTCTCTCTAATAGTAGAAAAGATGAAAAGAAAATTCAACTCAATTGTTACCTTGAAACTTTTCAATTACATTTGATTGTTAAAAGTAAATCATTACAATTTATTGCAATTACAATCAAGTTTATTGAACAATTGTAACTATAATTTGTTTCTCACTGGTTAAAGTCAAAAAGGTCGATAAAAAGTTCTGAATCGAGGTTACTTGTAATATAATGAGAAAGAAGAAAAAATCGTAACAATTTAAGAGGTTAACCTAATATCAAATTGTACTTTAGACTAATATATATATTGAGCTTAATGATATCATGACAATCAACGAAATAGTTTGATTACGAACCATAAGTTTTATTCAATCATATGAAAGTTGAGAGCAGAAAATAATTGAAAGAAATGCTTCCAATGAGGAAAACCCCACACATGATCTTCATGTAGAGAGAATGAGAGAATGAACAAAATCATCTCCAATGAATTTAAATTATCTAACGAAGCCTTGGAACTTTTCTAGAATGAGTGGGATAAGAACACGAAAAAGTTTTCTCAATCTTCAAGAAGTTCATTGAGATTATCGTTGAGTAAGATTTTCTCATGAAAAAAAACTCTGATTATACTTTATTTCTTGTTCCATGATTACTAACATAATGATTACGATCTTGATATGTAAATGTTTCACTCTGATTAGAATTGAAATGTTTATCATCCAAAATAATTTGTAATATAAGAGTTTTATCATCTTTATTATCATGCAAAGTCAAACATCATCATCATTAACCATATAAACTCAAGTTGATAATATTTGCCTCTTAGTTTGCTTATCATCTTTGTCTTTTCTTTACTAGTCTGTCATTTGCATTCTTATCATAATCATTATCATGCTGGAAATTACCACAATTATTACATATTCACGAGCTCTGATAATGAGTATGATAAAGTCAATTTGGTAGGAGGTTGTGGTTTATTCAGGGGAGGAGTGATAATGTCAAGCCCTTAACCATGTTATCAAATTAATCCGATTACCTATTTCATGTACATTTCTCATCAATGGTTCATTATTAGCATCATTTGTTTACTTAATTTTTATTCTCGTACTTTCTTGTAATTGATACTCAATTGTATTATCCATGATAATGATGAACTTTTTTACTCTATTGCAGCTCTTAAAGTTCAATATTGACTATGAATATATAATAATATGAATTTAATCAAAGTTGCAACAGAACCAAGAATCAGATTTCATATTCGTCATCTATTTTTAGCTCAACTCTTTTAAATTTAGTTTGTCTTTCCGATGAAATTTGAACTTATCAAGTTTTTTTTGAATCTCTATCATGTATTCATTTTACTCAATGAATGAAAATACTATTATTACAATTAATCGATTTTTAATTAACTTTTCATTCTAAACAATCAAAGGTCAACAATTTGTCAATTATTCAACCGAACTCTCAATGTTCAAATCTATAGTATCAAATGAGCTTTGGAAATTTTTTCTCACCATTGATATATTTTTTTGCTCTATGATCTGAATGAATACATTGAAAGAATGAATCAAATAAGTAAAATTCCAAATTCTTTTAATATGAAAGGGAATCGAGATGACGACTATTTGAGGATCAGAATTTCTAGTCGATACTTTTCATGTTAACTTGTTAAAGAATAAGATTTGCTTTTGACTATCCCAATCATTAGGGAGGGAAATAGGAAAAAGGGTGAGATTTTCAGGATGGAAAGTGAAAGAAAACAAATCCGACACTATGAGTTTAACTGAACAATAAGCTGAATGGAAGTAAAATTAAGAGTAATGGTAAATGGGTTTGTCATTTCGAGGGCTTGATCTCAAGGCTACTTACTGGTCACTCTCCCAGTTTCCAATGAGGGTAGAAGGTCAATCGTAAGTTAATGGACAAAATGAGGATGATAATAATCATTATTCTCTTTCTTTTGCTCCCTCTATCTTATGATTCTTATTTTCTCAATAAGCAATGGTCACTTTGTCATTCTCTTTCTCAAGTTTATTCCCCCTTCCAATCATCATTATTTTCAGTGTTGTTATTATCATCAACACGACGGTCATCAGTTTCACAGAATTTGTCGTTAAATCCATTGATTTTTTCACTGTTGTAATAGAGAAAAAAATGATTTTTATAACGAACAAATAAAACTGAGAATCTGAAACTTTACAGAGAAATTGATAACTAAAGATAACTAATGATAAAGACACAGTTAAATAAAGAAAAAGAATCATTTACTATTGCAAATTGATAATAATTAACCCTACGATTCATCATATTGGAACTTCCTCATCTCAGTGAATGACATTGCTCTCAAGGACTATTGATTTAACTTTGATTGTGATTGTGAGGCTGATAAAATATCCAGAATTTTGAATAACCGTTAGTTTCTGCGTACCCAAGTTCACCGCCTTTCCCACTTTGAAAGGTCAGTGTTTACTTATGGGCCTTGTTTCATATTTTTATTCTGTTGGAGAAAAAAATCTGACCTGATATATGACCTACAAGTAATAAAAAGTCAAAAGTCTGGATATTTGGTTGATACTCCCTGTATATTATTGCACTTCAGCTCTTCAATAGCAATAGTTTGAGTTTTGATAAATGATAAAGAGATCGAACCTATTTTTCTGGAAAACTTCCTAACATTCATTTCTCTGCAAGAGAATTCTGATTACAAACATCTCAGGTTTCATGTTGAAATCTGAGTCAAATTATTTACTATCATGAGGACTTTAAAATGGTAATTTGTCATTTGATCAATCATTTTCAACCCCTTTATAAGCACATTTTCCTGATCTCCATTGAAAATAACTCAACTACAATCTTTAATATTTCATCTTCATCATGTGAGGTTGATGATCTTGTTCATTTACCATGATATTTGATAAAGATGATTTCATGAATAAATGAATGAATTTGAAGCTGAACAGTTTTCTTGATAAATAGTGCAAAAGTAAAGAGATGAGTTTACAGTGAAGAGGTGAAAAAATGATGACCTGAGACTTGAATGGAATCATAAATTTGTCATAACTTGAATTTCCCCATGAATCACTGAAATTTTGATGTTATTTCACGATAATATCAGAGAAAATATCATAACAGCTAAGGTGATAGTTTTATCAAATCAAAAGCCTTCCAGCTATGATAATATCATGTATAAGCATAAAACAAGGAACAGTTTCTATCACTGTTTTATCATCAGATGAATTTTATCTCCTGAGTTTTGCAATTGAAATATTATCAAATGAAATGATAAAAATTCAGTTAATTTTTCAATGATATGCTAGCTAATTAGATCAAACTGATTGAGCCAAAA